ATCAAAACCATGCTTTTTGCCAGAAATTGGCCAAAAATTAGCCTTTTTTCATACTTTATAAAAAATGCATATCTTTTAAAAGGGTCTGAAAATGATCCAAAATGAGACAAAAGCATGGGCTATAGTCCATGCTTTTTGCAGGAAATTCAACAAAAAATGTCCTATTTTGCATCCTTCACAAATAAAGGATATCTTTTGAAGAGATGGGAGAATGGTCCAAAATAAGACAAAACCATGGGCTATAGTCCATGCTTTTTGCACGTAATTGACAAAAATGAACTATTTTACATCCTTTATGAAAAATGCATATCCTTTAAAAAGGTGTGAAAATGGTCCAAAATCCATCAAAACCGTGGGCTATAGTCCATGCTTTTTGCCAGAAATTAGCCAAAAATGACCCTTTTTTCATCCTTTATAAAAAATGCATGAATGCGGAAATTGGCCAAAAACTATCCTATTTTGCATCCTTTATAAAAAATGCATATCCTTTAAAAAGGTGTGAAAATGGTCCAAAATAAGACAAAACCATGGGCTATAGTCCATGCTTTTTCCCGGAAATTGGCCAAAAATGACCTATTTTGCATACTTTAAAAATGATGCATATTTTTTAAAAAGGTGTGAAAATGGTCAAAAATCCATCCAAACCATGCTTTTTTGCCAGAAATTGGCCAAAAATTAGCCTTTTTTCATCCTTTATAAAAAATGCATATATTTTAAGAAAGTGTGAAGATGGTCCAAAGTGAGACAACAGCATGGGCTATAGTCCATGCTTTTTGCCAGAAATTGTCTAAAAATGACCTATTTTACATCCTTTATAGAAAATGCCTATACTTTAAAAAGGTGTGAAAATGCCCCAAAATAAGACAAAACCATGGGCTATAGTCCATGCTTTTTGCCCGTAATTGACAAAAAATGACCTATTTTTCATCCTTTATAAAAAATTTATATCTTTTGAAAAGGTGTGAAAATGGTCCAAAATCCATCAAAACCATGGGCTATAGTACATGCTTTTTGCCAGAAATTGTTCAAAAATKAACCTTTTTTCATCCTTTTATAAAAAATGCATATCGTTTAAAAATGTGTGAAAATGGTCAAAAAT